TATTAGGCTGCTATTCCACTGAAGCTCACTCACAAAGAAGTTGCTGGAATAAAACATTCTTTCAGGTGTATAAAACTAAAGGTGAAGCCTTACATTTAGAATATACAATTACTTGTGTTTGCCTTGGTTCTTTCCCTTGAAAATCCTGAAGACTATTTTTTATGTGGTTCTTCCAAAAGGCTCCTAAACCTCTGGTCACAGATTAGTACTGACAGGAGGACGAAAGCAGGGCATATAGGAAAATCCATAAAATCATTTGCAGAGAGACTGCAAAATATATCACACAATAATTGATTAACCTAGACTGTTACCACTTTTGGGAAGTTTAACTTAGAATTCATGAGAAGCCCTACCCAGTTCCAATGCAAGATCTCCTTCAGAACTTGGGCACTAGGGAGTTTGATTCAACAACTGATCAAGGACAAATGACTCACAGAGAAAGGAGGGCAAATTAAAACCATAAACAAATGGGAAGATTTCTTAATTCTCATACTGAGAAGCTGTAATGATCTCGAGTGAAAAGAAACAAATAATTGTAGGCACTCAGATGTCCTAGTGACTAAACCATAAGAATGACAATGGAATTTATATAGTATAATCTTATTTATTAACAGAGATTAGCATATCATTCTCAGTAAGTAGAATTTAGAGATAAATATGGAGTACAGAGGTTTACTTTTGCAAAACTACACAATTTCTTAGTGATAAAGTTGAGACTGTAACTTAAAACTCCTCTAAACTCCATGTTTGCCTCCATTTTTGTTTGAAAGTGGTCGCTGGAACAGATCATTGTGGTTTATTGTGTACTTCTCCAGCTTCAACTTACACTGCTGTCTTGCACTTTGTTTTGTACATACTGAATCTATCCTCTTAACTTTTGTTTTTGATAAACTTACCTTAGAACAGCACTTTTAGATTTACAGAAAAATTGCAAAGAAAGAGTTCCCATATAGCCTACACTCAATTGCCCTATTATTAACATCTTACATTAGTATAGTACATTTGTTACAAGTAATGAATCAATACTGATTGATTAATGAATCAATATTGATCAGTCAACCAAAGTCTATACTTTGTTTAAATTTCCTTAGCCTTCACGTAATGTCCTTTTCTGTTTCAGGATCCCATCCAGGATATCACATTACATTCGGTCATGTCTCCTTAGGCTGTGAGTTTCTCGCTTTCCTTGTTTTGATGACCTTGACAGTTTTGAGGAATACTGGTCAGGTATTTAGTAGAATGTCCTTCACTAGGGATTTAGCTGACATTCTTCCCATTTATACTGGATTTATGAATTTGGGGGAGGAAGATCACAGACTTAAAGTGTCATTTTCATTGTATGATATCCAGAGTATGTAGTATCAACACAACATAACTTTGCTGTTGACCCGGATCACCTGGCTAAGGTAGTATTTGTCAGGTTTCTCTACTGTAAAGTTAATCTTTTTTTTTTTTTTTTCTCTCGTTCCATACTGGACTCTTTGGAAGGAAGTCACTATGCACAGCCCATCCTTAAGGAGTGGGGAATTATGTTCCATCTCCTTGAGGATGGAATAGCTACATAATGTGGAATTCTGCATGGGAAACTTTTCATTTATTTATTCAATCATTTATTTATATAAGCAAGGACTCATGGATATTTATATTTTGGGTTATAATCTACAATCCAACACTAGTTTATTTTGTTGCTCAAATCGTTCCAACTTTGGCTACTAGAAGCTACTCGAGTCTTTTTCTTTGCTTCCCTTGGTCTTGAATGTTCCTTTACCTCTTTTCAGGATTCAGCTGAGATGAAAAATATTCCTAAGTCCCCTATCCTGATCCTAATCTCCCATCACTCTAGATTATATATTTTTCCGGTACACCTAAAATTTATGTCTACTATGGTACTTACATATTTATACTTATGTGTCTCTCCCACCGGACAATAAACTTTTTGAGGGTAGTGATTACGTCTTATTTATTTTATATGCTTAGTATATAGTACATAGTGCCTCGCCTACACAAAGCAGGAGCTCAACAAATATTTCCAGAATGATCACTATGATTTTCTCTTTAGTCCAAGAATCCAGGAGTGCCTAACATGTTAACCAGAAGCCACAGAGGAGTTGGTAACTAACTGCTCTGGTAGGAATTACAAGGTGCTACTATTGTAAGTATTAATGTCAGTCATGAAACACATGTAATACAATAGGCTCAGGATCTAAGCTAACACTTCTGCACGTCTCATTTCTAAGTAAGCAGACTTTTCCTGAATATTAATCCCAGTTACATGGGCATAATTACATTAAGGGCAATGACAAACTACCTTTACATTTAGAACCAAGGGTAGGCAGCTTCTAGTTTTGCTTAGCTTAGGGAAGTGGTGTCCTCAAAACAGCACACAGGAATTTGGGTCATGAGGTTCCCAAGTGACTTGCTGCTGGTTGAGGACTGCATAACCACTGAAGAAATAAATCTGCTGAGTTGCATTCTTTGTTGTCAATACATATTATGAGAAAATGACTTTAAAAATTAATCAAGAATCTTCCAAGATATAGGAGTTAAGAGGAACTCTAATAAGCTGAAACAGGTTTTGAGGTTGGATCATGCTAGTCCAAGCCACCATTAACTCTTGACTGATCACCTTCCTAACTGCACTCTTGCCCTCATCTATCCATTTACCATAAATGAGATTGTGTCATTCCATTTAACACTTCCACTTAACTGCTTTTATAACAAAATTCAAAATTTCAAGCATGCCCTAGAAGTTTCCACATATCTTTTGGGCTCCTTCACCTCTTCAAACTCATCCCACACTCATCTCTTCCTTGACTAGTAATGGTCCAGCCATGCTCATCTTTCTGAGGTCGTGGCACCGTCCCATAAAATTTTTGATGTCTAGTAGCTCAATCTTCTTGCAAGAACTTTTCAAAGTTTTTCAGTCCTTAATGTTTCTTATGCATGAGTTCTGTACCTAAGAACAAAGGCACCTTTGTCTAAGGAACACCTACAAATACACTGAAATAAAGATTAGATTAAAACATAAAAACCCATATTCTTCATGAGTCAGAAGCTTTTTTGGTGTTAAAATGTATATTATCCTTAAGCTTTAGTTAACTAATATGTTATTTTTCTAAGAAACAGTAATATTTGTTTGATTTTGACATCCTGCAAAGATTAACTCAAATTTTAAAATGGTTTCTATTTATAAGAAAAAGAGTTAAACACAAATTTAAATAAAACAACACTGCCTTCTTAAAATAATAAGTTATTAAAAAATTGAGTCCCTTTGATAACTAAAGGTACCTTACTGCAACCTTCCAAATGTATGAAAATTAACATAACCATACAATGCTGACAACTTGAAATAAGACAAAGAGTCACAGACCAAACAAAAACCACAATAATCTGCTTCTATTTAAACACATTCAGAGAGGCATAAACTCTCTGCTTCTATTTTGATGACTTTCTGGACATATCTGCCTAAGTAAAGTTCTTTAAGTGAAGAATCTACATGTGAATATTCTTTCTATATTTTTGCAAAAGGACATTCATTAATCTCAGAAAAAAGCCCAACTGACATGTTCTGGTTGATGACAAGTGTAACTTTTGAATGATAGTGACTTTTTCTCTCAGAATTAAGTCCAAAAGTTATCAGGTTCTTAACTCCCAGAAGTTAGTTAAGATATAATTGTCTTGAGGCTCTAAAAACTGAAAAATTTCACTTAAGTTTGAGGCTGACTCATTTGGCAGTAAAAACTGACCTGAACTAATGCAAGACTATTTTTAGTCTTTATTAATCTCATATAATGTGAACATTCATACATTTTGCTGCAGAAATATTAATGTGTTTGAAAACAGTACTGCTCCAGACTCTGTTGGAGGGTGTTATATAATACATAGTGTATGTACCCTATTACTTGCCTAAAAGTCAGAAGGTTCTAAATTCCAAAACGCATTTGGCCCAAGGGCTTCAGATAATGAAATGTGGACCTGCAGTAGGTTTCAATAATTTTAAATAGAGGGACACATGGGATATTCTGATCACCCTTATTATCCGTATACTTATCACACCAAGCTTTTCCAAGTGTCTATTTTTATGAAATACATGTGGCATATAATTCTGTTTACATCTTTTTCTAAAAAGTGTTCAGACTTAAAGTAGCTCCAACAGAAAAAGCTTCACATTACTTTTGCTTGACCTGCTACTCTTAAGTTCTTTCCTTTTACAAATTGAAAACAATGTGTGAAACTAACTAGACAGTCTAAGAGATTATATGGCTTGGAAATTTGGATAATAGGGCTTCAATTTCTTTTCCTCTAAGTGAGAGCCTGGCAAACCATGGTCTGTGGGCCTCCACCTATTTCATAAACAGCTTATGCCCATTTGTTTATATATGGTCTGTCTGTGGCCGCTTTTCTGCCACAATGGCAGAGTTGTGTAGTTGTGGCAGAGACCATATGACCTGCAAAGCCTAAAATATTTACTATCTGGCCCTTTATGGAAAAAGTTTGCTGACCTTTGCTCAAAGTTGATCACCCCACGATGTATACTAATACCTATGACTATCTGATAGCCATGATTTTATAAAATAAGTTGGTTTGTGTACATTCAGGGTTTATTTAGGGCCTTATGGGTAACATTTCAAAGGAAAAGACAGAGATAGCTGTCACAGACTGATATTCCCTTTCTGTTTGAATGTGGTCTCAACAGGTCAAAATGTTAGACCCTTGGCCAGATCCAGAGGGACTGAGGAATCTGGTACTTGCTGATAATATAAATCTGGTCAGAGAATGAAGAGAGAACTTCATAAAGCAATTAATCTTTCTACCTACTGTAAACATTAAGTTCACAGAAAAGAATCCATATACTTTATGTTGATATGCATAATTCCAAAGAGGTGGGGAAATATGGACCTTAAAAATTATTCATCAGTATAGTATACTATAGTTCATGTGTGCTGCTTCTTGAAAAGATAAAATTATCTCTTGCCACATTGGACAAAACGTTTCCCAGCTCAGCTGTGGCTCAATAAACTTTTATTATTTTTTGTTATTTATTTTTATTCAAAAGAATTTGTTTCCCTATCACAAAAATTAGATAACCATACCACCAACAGCAGCAAAGTCCGTAGAGTTACATGGATGGTGGAGAGTTCACTGGGTATTCCCAATGTCCCAAAGGTCATAAAGGAGGGAAAAAAAGGAAAAGAAAAAAATACTCAAAACAAATCCAAAACCCATGATGACTTTGGGGAGAGACATCACACGACAGTTTCTGCCTTCTCTTATTGTCAGCTGCAGATGTATTTCAGCCGGATCAAGTACAATTCAACTTGAGTAAACCCTTCATACCAACTCTAGCACCTAATAGGGAGAAAAAAGAATCAGTATAAAAAAATAGTTTTAAAATATAGGAAGAGTTTAATCAGTCTTTATTATATTGTAAATGGAGAACCAAATCAAGTAGACTTTTCCCAACTGCTTTGGCTAAAATCAAAGAATTTGAAGGGATTAGACATTAATCCATTCTTACTTTCAATTCAATAGCTGCATGAACTCTTTCAGATTAGTTATCTCCACAGTCAACAAAGGAGCCTTCAAGATAAACTACATAAAACATAGATAAATGAACTGACTGATCCATAGCATGAATATAACATTTTTGGAATATTATGTTGGTATCTTTCCATATTCATAAGAAAAAGTTTAAGTATACATTTTTGGAATATTATGTTGGTATCTTTCCACATTCATAAGAAAAAGTTTAAGTATTGCTGTTTAGAATTTTAATCCACTTATTTCTTGCACTGATAAACATTTTATAGTGATCAAGGTATACAGGACCTAAAATCTTGTCTTTTCCTATTGCTTCATTTATTTTCTAGTCAAGCATCTGGGTGTCGAGATATTTTGTTAGCTATTAGACTTAAAGTAGTACCTTATCATACAAAAAAGTTGTGCTAAAACTAAAAATAAGAAGAATTATACTTCAATAAAGATGTATAAAAAATAAATAAAATAAAAATAAGAAGAAGCAATGACCAGTTATAAAAAGAGTAGAAGAAATGGCTGAGAAAGGACATCGAACATGCGGACAATTATGAGCACTGTCAAAAAGGATTATGTTAGATGGAGACTGTAATTCTAGGTGGCAAAGAATTAAAGGAGCAACTTATCCTCTGCCATTGCCGTGCTAAGGCTTGACTTATATCTGTGCTTTCATAATGCTTTTTGTCTTTACATTTGCCAAGCAGGCTACTTTACATAAGTGGTCAATGCTGTTGAACAAAAATCTTAGATTTGTCGCTGAGATCCTATAAGTATGTATGTAGCTTTGAGCTTTCTGTAGAAACATTAGCAATCCCAATTGCCTCAAAGCCCAAACTTGTTGAAGAATACAGTACAGCTTTTTCAATACATGCCTTGCCATGAGAATAAAGTAAAGAAAAACTGAGAGACTACAGACAGCCACTTAAAACAGAGATTCCAAGACTTTCTACCATCTTGCTTGAGGCTTCCAGAACACAGCCCTGGCTCTCTAATGAGGCTTTCCAAATAGAGAAACTGGATGCATAAAAAGAAGTATACCATGTAAATTAATTTTACTAGCTAACAGTGCAGTTCTGCTTTGAGTTTGCTCATTTCATCTCTGTAGGACAATGTGTGAGGCTTGGATTTGCTCTCTTGGTTGCTGGGTCATTCTCCGCTCAGGATGAGTGGAAGGAAGCCATGGCAAAATTAATGCTAACTGGCAGGAAAATAGGTACATATTATTTTAAAAAATGCATCCTGACACTTCTGTATCAGCAGAGAATATGTGGAAAGAACTGGTACCCACAGAATAAGTGCTAATCAAACCCATGTACTAAAAACCTCCTCCAAAATGGTGTTTTGTTTAAAAGCTCACTGCTTAGCTCAGGATTTATTTATCCAATGTACTGTGCCCAAGTGCTGAATATCCAATGGTATAACTAGATACAATTTTTACTTCCTTGAACTCCTAACTACAAAGAAAAGTATGTGGAAAACTATATATGAATGTGGGAATGAGACTGTGAGCAAAGAGACATGAAAGTTTTCAGATTACACCAATGGCATGATCACATGATCAATCAATTTTCAACGGAACACTAGAATACCTTTCCTTCCCCTAGCAACTGAGGAAAAACCTCCTTGTCATGGAAGAGAAGGAAGAGAAACTCGAGGAAGAGAAGAGTAAAATCAGAGTAAGACATTTTAAAACCTGGTGAACGTCTAAGCATCTGCTGCTGTATCTTGGATCTTGTTCCCTGAACACCCTGTGGGGCAGCTGCACTGGCATGACAGAAGCTCAGCAGTGCTCGCCCCACGGTGAATGCTTAACAGTCTTCGTCTGTTTTTCATCCTCACCGCCTTTCAATCTCTTCAGCATTCGTATAACCTCTAACAAGTACTATCATCTTCCCCATAGTTGCAAGCTACCTATTCTTTTCCCCTTCAGTCAAAGTTATTTCCAAGCAGACAGAGACCCATGATTTGGCATGCTCTCTAAGGCTTAGTACAACTCTACATTTCCATGTTATAGTTATAGTCTGTTATAGCCTAAAAATGGAGATGTATAAAATAGCTTACCTTAATTGTACCCTGACTGTTAGCAGCAATCAGCACATTGGACTCCTAGAAAAGAACAAGAACTTTTAGAGTATAGAGAAGGATTTCCTGGAGGGCAGTCCAGGAGAGTAATTTAATCTTCATCCTTCTTTCTTCACTTCACCCTAAGACGCCAATACAATCTAAACTGGAAAACCAACTTTAACATGTTTTTAACTATGAATTATAAATACAAAATCCAATATTTTGAGGATTAAGTTGTAATAAAAAAATTAAGTTGGAAGCAGAGTAGGAAACTTTTAAATGTAAAGAAAAATAAAAGAGAAACAGATTGCCACTAGGAGGAAAGCCAAGAGAAACAAAGACTGAAATAAAAATAAGAATAACTTGAGAAAAACAAAGCACACAATCCTTTCCACAGAAAACTCCCCCTTCATTCACTTTCTCCCATAAGACACCAGTAATTGGCATAAATCTCTATTGCTAGCTATTTGGTATTAGAAAAACAAAATAAAACAGAATGTGAATATTCATCTGGGAGAAAGAAGGCTATCTTTCTTTTTAATTATTCTATCACTCACTATATGCATTTTTAACAACCTTGGTGATTACTTGAAATAGAATGCATGTGGTAACATATTTTTTTTAAATATTCTAAGCCTTAAGAAAAAACTATCTCTGGAAGGTAGAAAGGGTAGAAAGAGAAATAGACAATACTGAGTTTACCAGAGAGAATCTCATTGAGTAGGAAGAGCTAGGACATGCCTTCCATTGAAAACAGAGTCTAATAGGCTCTGAGCTTGGGAGTATAGACAAGTCTTTTCGCTTTTAAGAGCAGGCGGCCAGAAGGAGGTAAACAGACTCAGAACTGCCATAGAGGCCATACGGCTGATGGGAAGACCAAGCCCAAATAACTGCTTTCAAAAACAGAGAAAGTGGTCAAACTTCACTGAAGGATAGGATCTGTCTGAATACCCTACAGGTTTCATCAGAAAGTGATGAAGAGAAGAAAGAAAGCTCTTGATCTGTATTCTGGGAAAGTTATTTTAGCCAGTTTGAGTTAAACCTTAGTTTCTTTGATACAAGGCATCTGTGCTCTACAAACTTCTACATTTCTATCTTTTAACTTTCTCTTTTGATTCCTAGTAGAGTTACTCTTGAAAAATGCTCACCTTGTTGCTACTGGTGAAGAGGAAATATATAATTTCTTCCACTAACCCCCAAATTTGGGGGATCAAAATATTCCTTGAATGCAGTCAGTGGTGATAGCATCAATGGTCAGTTGTATCAAGAAGGAATAAAGACATATGTTTCTTCTGGAGGTGGGCATGGGAATTGCTGATGATGGAGTTTGGAACACACAACCCCCAAATATGGCACCGTGGCATATTGAATATTTCAAGCCAAAGGACTTTGAGAAAATGGCAGAAGCAGGAAGGTCACTCTGACCTCCCATATCCCTCACCCTTTTCCCCTAAAACAGGTCATAAAACCCTCACGTGGGAGGTGCCCTCCCTATAACCAGAGTAAAGGAGCATCCTTATCTCCAACGACAAAGGAATGCTAAGAAGAATCCAAATAAACAGGCCTTGCCAAGTTTCCCTGCAGCTTACTACTCCTGAGTGCAATTACCTCACACCCCTGAACCTATCGCATTGCCACATGACTACCCACTGTTCACAAACACAGCAGAAAATACACAGGTCTATATCCTTGGGTCTTCTTTTCCTTATGAAGGCTCCCATGTCATGTAAAACATCGTAAATAAACCTGCATGCTTTTCTCCTGTTAATTTGTCTCTGTCAGCATAATCTTCAGACCCAGCCAAGGACCCTAAGAGGGTTAGGGAAAACTTTTGTCTCCCCTACACTGATATTTTCCTAGCTGAGCTTTTCCCTTAAATCAGCACATGTATTCTTGAAAATAGTAACACAGGTAATATAACATTCACTAGTAGAATTAGTTTTAATATCTACTTTGGGGAATTATGGGCTATCACTGGGGCTGAATGGGCATAGAATTAATACTTCCATATTGGGGAGGATGTGTGTGGTTGGAATAAGGGATATTCCCAAATGCCCCTCATTTAACTACTCTTTTAGTAAACTGAGTTCAGAAAATGGCTGGAGTGGGTCTGAGGTATCCTTAGGGAACATAACAACTCACTCTGAGCTTCTTCAGAGTGGAATTTCTATGTCTGCCTCAGAAAACAAAAAGAGGCACACTGTGGTGTAATGTGGATTTCTTTCTAGCAAGAACTTTAAACAAGCTGTGCTACATCACAACTGCCACCAGAGAACCCAGAAATGATTCTTCTGTGAGCACCATCCAGAAATGAAGCTACAAACACATCAATCTAGTTTCTGTTTGAAGAAAGACTCCTGTCTCCAAGAAAGCAACTACCATCATTAGATGCTGCAGTCACCAAGAATTGCTCCCTCTGCTATGGGAACACATAATGTCAGGATACTGAAAAATTTATAAGCCAAAGCTCTCTCTCTTTCTGCCATTTTGGTTCTGGTCACCTTTTAATACAGAAGAAGGTAGAAAGACCTAGTGGAGATGAAGATTCACCCTGAGGGTAAGGGGGAATCCACTTCTGCCAGTTACAGAGATTATGAATGACATAAATTTGTAATTCTTAGTGGAAGAATGTTTGAAACATGTGATATATTATCATACAGTATGAAAGAGTATGCTCAATACATATGTAAAAAATCTAGTTAGATCACCACATAAGAGGGATCTGAAGTCTGTACGGTTACTACACTAAACCCAAGAAGGAAGACATCTGATGACTACCCAACATAAATAAACGATGTCTTTTTATAACCTGAGGACTATTATGGCATTAAGAGGTGGCCATATTAGATGCTACCAGAGTTAACTCTAAACACCTTTTCCTGTGGAGACAGATAAATATCTCATTTACAAATAAGCCAACGCAGAAAGTGATTGCCCAGTTGGAATCGTCTTTTAGGACTAACATATAGCTGACAGAGTGTCCCAGGAAATTTCAGAAACACTCAAAACTATTCAAATTAACAAACAATGAAAGAAAAATAATAGCTTCTCTTCTCAGTATGCCCCTCCCTCCAAAGACCATGAACTTATTAAAAAGGGATTTAGGATTAAACTGTCTTTCAGATAGCTAGATATCAGCTTAAGATAAATGAATTTTTACATGCAACAGAAAAACAAAACCAGGTATTTTACTTTAGCACAGAGGTACAGAAGCGATATGTACAAGGTTATCACTGTAGGTTTTGAGTGATTCTTGTTTGCATTTTGAATGACTAGTAATTCTTAGCTGTAGCTGTACCCTGCCAGAGCCCTAATATAAGTTCTGGTTGAATAGGTTGTTTTTACTTGCTAAATAAAATTAAAATGCCAGCCAGTAATTCCCATTATTTTCTCCCTCTTTCTTGGAAACAGGCAGTTTTGCTGCAAAGCCCTCCTCAAGGTTAAGATAATAATGCAACAACTATTTTCTTTTTAAAATAAAGAGATTAAAAAAAGACAATAGAAAAATTAGCAGCAAGTTTTTTATAAAAGTAGAAGACACATACATAAACATATACCAACTTGCTTATAAAGTCAGAGATATATGTTCACTTATACTAAAACAAAACTAGCATCCACTGGAACAGTTTCCTCTTTGCCAGCCTGCCTATAAAAGTGCCATTATAGCTACTACATTAAAATCCTGAGTAAGCTGAGAATTAACAATTATTCACTTAGTTTGCAATTGGAGGATTTATTCCTAGAGATACTTGATTTTAAATGTGAAGCAATTTCACTAGATATATGAATATGTAATTAAAAACACTTCTATTTCTGGCTGTGAAAGAATAAATGGAATGGATTTGCTCTCCTACTTTAAGCAACTAGAAAACTGAACAAAACACATAAGACACGACTGGACAACAGGCAGTACTGGACTGTGATCACTACAAGAGGAGAAACACAAAAGGTCAGCCCTATAATCCCCCTGGCTTTCTGCTTGGAGGCAATTTCTGGAACACATAGCAAGGGAAGGGGAATCCAAATAGAGCACAGAGGAATCTGAGCAGACCATAGCAGACTAAGTTGAGGAGACAGAGGTGTAAGCACAGAGTATCTGTAGGGCAGCTGGAATTTGTAGGGCAAGGTTCCACAGAAGAGAAAGCTACTTAAAAGTAGAGTTCCAGGAATCTGTACTGGGGTCCCCTTGATTGTACATCAGAATAAACAACTGTGTGTTCATAGAGTGAAACTACACAAAACCAGGCAAATAACAATGAACAGGGAAAGTACAACTACTGAGAATCTACAACATTATCAAATGCCAGAGTTCACACAGGGTTAGGAGATGTTTGAGTTCTGACCAACCACAGTGAAGAGAACATTCAGTGCCCTCAATGAACATTCAGGGCATTTAGCAGAGTCCCCAGAAGGGTCATGCCTTATCAGTAAGGCTAAACTAGCCTTAAGGCAAATGTTTCTCTAGACCAGGGATCAGCAAACTGATACTGTGGACCAAATCCAGCCCACTGCCTGTATTTTGTATTTCAGTTTTAGTAGAACCCAGCCATGGTCATTAGTTTACAGTTGGCCCTCTGGTTCCACATCTGCAGATTTAGCCAACGGTGGATCAAAAATATTTTGAAAAAAAAAAAAAAAATCTAGACAGTTCCAAAATGCAAGACTTGAATTTGCTATTTGCTGGCAACTATTTACATTTCATTTACAACTATTTACACAGCATTTACATTATATTAGGTATTATAAATAATTTAGAGATGACTTAAAGTATACAGGAGGATTGCTAGAGTATATGTAAATACTATGCCATTTTATATAAAGGACTTGAGCATCCACAGATTTTGGTTTCTGTCAGGGGTCCTTAAACCAATTCCTGTGCATACCAAGGACTGAGGGATATACTGTCTATAGCTGCTCTTGCACTACAGTAGCAGAACTGAGGAACTGCAACAAAGACCATGTGGCCTGCAAAGTGTAAAATATTTGCAATATTTAATTGCAAGGACTAAAATATTAGTCCTTTAAGAAAAAGTTTTGCTAAT